CTACCTTCCCTCTGAGGTTCTTCAGTCTGTTCCATGCTTCTATGTCTTTGGGTCTATTTTGTTCATTGGTTTATTTTGTTCATTAGATTCCACATATGAGTAAGATCATGTGATACTTGTCTTTCTCTGAATGGCATATTTTGCTTAGCATAATACTCTCCAGGTCTTGCCATGTTGCCTCAAAGGGTAAGGTATCTTTCTTTTTAACAGCTGCATAGTATTCTATGGTGTAAATGTCTGAGAAGATGCTTGATATAATTTTAATCTTCTTGAACTTGTAGAGCCTTGTTTTGTGTCCTAACATGTGGTCTATCTTTGAGAATATCCCATGTGCACTTGAGGAGAATGTATATTCTGCAGCTTTGGGGTGAAATGTTGTATAAATGCCAATTAAGTTCATCTGATCTAGTGTGTCATTTAGAGCCACTGTTTCCTTGTTGATTTTTTGTCTCAAAGGTCTATCCAGTAAAGTCAGTGGGGTGTTTAAAGTCCCCTATTATGACTGTATTGCTGTCAGTCTCTCCCTTTGACATTGGATTTCCCCAACCAACTCCCCAAAACTCCCCCACATACCCCTGGATAACTTTCTAAATCTTACCTTCATTCTGATAATTTGCCATCCATGTTCTACTATCACATCTCCAAGATCTAGAATCTTATCTCAGAATAACTCTTATCTTTCCATCTCTTTTACATATATGCATATTTTTCTTAAAGATTTTCTCCTGTTTTCATTTCTGGTTCCAAACTCCTCCTTTCTAAATTTTTCTCGTCTGGAGTTATTGTGGTATGCCTATTTGAGGAGTTTGGAAGCCCTGTATTTATTTCATAATTCATGTAAGTGCATTGAGAGAACAGATGTTTTACAGTAATAAAACTGAAGATAATTCCTAGTTTTTAATCTAATATTATATTAGCATGTTTTTCAGTATTGTGAATTCAATGACTTGCATAGAAACACTTTTATGGATTTCAGAAACAGAATAGGAAAAGCTAGCTATAGACTTATTTTTGACATAGCATTAAACCCTAGGATGAGAAACATTTTATAAGACTAGAGAGAGCGCTATGCAACTTGTGTTTTTAAATTTACCCAAGAAGTTTCTGTGGCACACTTTATGTAATTACTAACAAGGGAGTAATTTAGAGGTGATTTTAGGACTAAAAGGATGCTCTTCCCTCTTTTACCACTCACCGAATGTTTCAGGAATTTCTGGTGTGTGCTAACAGTACTCTTTGTGTAGTGGTAAAGGGGGTAGGATCTTAAAAGGTAGAATTATCTTACACTCACAGAAATAAAATTACAGCTGTTATAGATGCTAAGAGGAGAATCTTGATATTAGGCAAGTATATTTTAATAGCCCCTGACTTGACTTAGAAGGTTAGGAAAACCATTCTACTTAGTACAGTATTTTGAAACTGGTGACCGAGTCTCCCACTAGAATTTAGGATCCTCAGAAGCAGGAGTCATGCTATTTTTATGTTTATTATTAGTGCCTGCCATTTAGTAGCTTTTTAAAAACTATCTGTTGACTCTAACATGTACATTTTCTGGAAATATTAAATTAAAACATCCTATTTGCCATTATTCAATTTGTGTCTTGTGGAGCATAAAGAGAAAAACAGAGCTTTATTTCTTAAACTTATTTTCTGTAGATTCGTGGTACCCTAAAGAGCTGGACCAAGTTGTGGTGTGTATTGAAACCAGGGGTGCTACTGATCTATAAAACCCAAAAAAATGGTCAGTGGGTAGGAACAGTCCTTCTGAATGCCTGCGAAATCATTGAGCGTCCATCAAAAAAGGATGGCTTTTGTTTCAAACTCTTTCATCCTTTGGAGCAGTCTATTTGGGCAGTAAAGGTAAGCACTTGTTTTATAGGTAAAAGGTAAAGATGTGAGTAGAACTGAGACAAGTCAATCTAGTGATTGCTGTTCTCTGCCAGCACTAATAAATTTATTTCTGTTTTCAAGGGCATTATTCCTCTGTCTCTACCCACAATGAAATGTGCACCAAATGTCCCTGTTTATCTTTAAGATGTAACTTAAAAATTTCTCCAGAAAACGTTTTTCTAACTTATACTGTACCTTATCTTTTTGCCATGGGGATTCAGTTTGTACTGTTTTTAAAATTTTGCAATTAATAATTTTGCTTTGTAATATTGTATCATATTTACTGTGTTGTTCTCTTTATCAAAATTGTAGTATCTGGTAGAACAGAAGCTTCCATTTATTTTTGTTTTGTTTTTTCTGTAGCTATGTAAATATGTGATAAGAAGAAGCTTGTAAGAGTCTTCCTTACTCTTGAGAGGCAACTTTCTTTGAAGATGGAGCTCTAATGCTTTATAACTGAAAAGCATTACTGTGGTCACTCCTGTATTATGAAACTTAATCAGGAACTTAATCAGGAAAATAGAAACGCCTTATTGATTAACTACCAAGAAATTCTACAAACAGTAGACGTGCAGCACATGCTAACTGAATAAATGAGTCTGAATCTAGTTTAAGTTTTTACAAAGCCACCATTGTTTTAATTTGAAAGAAGGTCAGTTACACTTGCATAAAGGGTTTAGAACTCCTTTAAGGAAAAACATGTAATTGAGATTAGGGCTAAGTAAAAGTAGCTTCAGCTTTTAAATATTTTTGGTATTGCTTAATTAGGCAATATACATATACCTAGGAAAAATCCTGGACTTTTCACCTTTATTTCAGTAGTCTGGAGTTAGGAATAAATTTAGGATTACAGAGTTAGTTCCATTCTGGAGTTAGATACTTCCCATAGGGGAAATAATTTAACCCATACAGCCTGTGGTATTTATATATCATGCTATACTCAAGTGAAAAAAGATTCCTTTCAAAACCTTTTATGTATTTAAGTATTTATTCTTTACTATTAGTCTTAGAAATCGTAAGAATTATAATGTATTTTTAAATCATTAAAAATATTTTTAACCCTGGCTGAGTAGCTCAGTTGGTTATGTCAACCCGATATACCAAGGTTGTGGATTTAATGTCCAGTCAGGATACATACAAGAAGCAACCAGTGAATGCGTAAATAAGTGGAATGACACACTGATGTTTCTCTCCTCCTCTCTCTTCTTTCCTCTCTCTCTCTCTCTCAAATCAATAAATAAAAAATTTAATAAATAATGAAATATAAATTTTGATGTGAAGTTTATTTCATTGCAACTATTTCTGGGAGGGAAGTTTGTACAATTACATGAGCATCAGAATGTTCTCCACAAGCAAAACCTGCTTAGGACATTGTTTAAACAGTTTTAAAGTCAGTGTCAATGATTAGGAAAAAATGATGTTTATGAATTCTTACTTTGTGTCAGGCACTCTTTTGAGCATTTTACATGGAATCTTTTTAATTCTTACACCTTTAGGAAAGATAGTTTCCCCCTATGAACCAGACAAAGAGATTGAGGCCTAAGGAGGTTACGTAAATAATTCTTCTAACGTGGAACCAAGGTTGAAACCCAGGCAGTCTGACTCTAGTTCCTTCTCTATACTGGTTCTAGAAACTGGCCCATAAATTATAAAACTATATGAAAATACTTAAGGCATTTTATAAGATTTGTTAAAATCATTCTGATTTTTCTGTTTTTAAATTTTAAATCTTCATCTTTACTTTCTGATGTTTATACTTTTTAAAGTTCATTTTATTCCTTGATCTGACCATTTTAAAAATTATGCTTTTTCTATCAAAATTATACTATAAATTCAATCCTCAGGTTTTTCTTTCCAGATAAGAACTCTGTCCACCTAAGATTAGCCTTGGTAATAGTAATTACTGTAGAGCTCTCAGTGTTGTATACTTCTAAAACAAATAACCCCAGCTAACAACAATAAAATTCCTTTTTCTTTATTGTTTCTGGAAAAATAAAATTAGCTTTTATAGTTGGTATTTATAAACAAGTGTATCATTGGTTATAAACGGACGAAGCTTTATTTTTTCCTAGACCTAGTAAAAATTTCGTTTTTTTTTCTTTTTCTTATAAAATACAACCATATTTGCAGCTGTTTTTTTATAGGCTCCTAGAAACTAAGTATTTTTTTCTAGTAGTATATGTGGGCTGTAAATTCTCTGTTAAATTAAAATTTTGTCTAGCATTGTAAATTTTAGGTTTCCCTTTTAATATGTGAGCAATGTATAGAGATAATGTTTAATGATAGGTATATTTGTTGAAAGAGGAAAACTTTTCTTAATACTCAACATTTACTTTCTCAAGAAGCATGAAATTAAAGCTTGTTTGCTTTTAAATTTTAACCCATGACTAATTTAAATTGTTACCAATAATAATGGATAGTATAAAGTTGAGATCTCATAATCCTGTATGCCATTTATTTTACTTATTTGTATTTTATTTGTTTATTTTAAGGGTCCAAAAGGTGAAGCAGTTGGATCCATAACTCAGCCCTTACCTAGCAGTTACTTGATCATCCGAGCTACTTCGGAGTCAGATGGTAAATAGAGGTTTTGATGGATTGGATTTTGGTTTCATTTTTAAGGGTTTATTTTATATACTGCTGTGTATTTTCCTTTGGGAAATATGTATTTAGTATAGTATTTGCAGCAGAAGTGTTGTAATCGTAAATTGCTTAGAACACTAAATAGGTCATGAACTTGAGTAGGTAGCAGGAATCTGATAGGAGGGAAGCATGGGGTATCTGAGTGGTGCGTTAGCAGCCTGGTTTTCTTTGTCTTCCACTGACATGTTAACACCTTTTTGACTTGGTTAGTGTTCTCTGTGGTACCTCATTAAGTTTTATTGTTTTGGAGGTACATTTAATACTACTTTTTCATCACTAAGTAGTAACATATGACATACAAGTACAAACTTCTGTTCTGCACTTATTAACTTACATGCAATTCCTAAAGCAAATTTAGGGAGAGCAAAACTTATTTGAAATCAAGGTAACTTTAAAACTTTAATAATTGATAATGGATTTCTGCCTCACTTTTATATTTTATAGCTTAGACTAGCCTAGCCTAAGGAATCTTGTAACCTTCCAAAGTTACCAAATGATTATTTTTAAAATTAAAATATCATAGGCACAAGCATTTGTTAAGAAAGTCTTTTATTTGGCTGATATTTCCAGCAGATGCTAAAACAAATGTATATGAATTTTAAGTGAGATAACATTTTTTCCCCTGCTAATTATAGTTCTAAATTTTAATTAAAAAAATAAAGTTACTGTCCAGCTGGTGTGGCTTCGTGGTTACGCGTCAACTCATGAACCAGGAGGTCACAGTTTGATTCCCTGTCAGGGCACATGCCCAGGTTGCAGGCTCAATACCCAGTAGGGGGTGTGCAGGAGGCAGCCAATCGATGACTCTCTCATCATTGATGTTTCTGTCTATCTCTCTCTGAAATCAATTTAAAAAAAATAAAGTTACTAGTAATGTTTCTACTAACTAGTATGGCAGTTAATGACGTTATTGTACAGGTATTTCCCTGACTTAAAAATTTTCATACATATAAGTAGAATGGATGCCAAACCTGGTAATAGACCTACTATCAACAAAACATAAAAATAAAAAATAAAATAAATGTTTAAAAACGGCAAAACAAAACATTATTTTAGTTTGTTTATAGTACAAACATATCCCCTTCAGTATATTTTATGTACTGTTTTGGTACCTTCAAATTATACTTCATGTTAGTGTCTAAGATTTAAAAAATAAAATACATTTATTTTCATTAAGTGTGCTTACTAATGTGTGCTATATTCTATTAATTTACCATTGGTTTCTAGATACTTAGTATATAAAAAGCACTTGATAAACTGAAAAATTGCATTAAAAAACCCCTGTAAGACTATGTTCAAACTAATTTTTCCAGTGCTTGTTTCTCAAAGAAATAATAGTATGCTTAAAGGCTAACAGTATTAAATTGAGATAGATGTTTTTATGGTTTTTAGGGTTTCTTGAGTTATGCTGCTTATGAATCTGTGTTCTTCTAGGAAGGTGCTGGATGGATGCTTTGGAGTTGGCTTTGAAATGTTCTAGTCTTCTTAAACGTACAATGCTCAGGGAAGGAAAGGAACATGACCTGAGCATTGCGTCAGAGAACACACATGTGACTTTGTATGGCTTATTACGTGCTAACAATCTCCACAGTGGTGACAACTTCCAGTAAGTAGATATTGCCCCTAATTTGGTAATTAGAGACCATTTGTTTACTAGGTTAGTTGGAAGGCCTAGAATTTTTGTAGTATATGTAGGATTGAAATTTGGCTGTCTTCTTCCCATTATATCACCTACGGCCTGGCTTAAGATTCTTTAGTTACCGTGATAAGGTATAGAAAGTTATATCCTTGACCCTTGCTTAATGTGAATTACCTGTTATTTCCCAAATGCATCCATGCTGACTGTCTACCTTGTCTTTGGACATGGTGTTCCCTTCATTAAGAATGATTTCGAGTCCTCCTTGCTCTTTTCTCCTATCATAAGACTGTATTCTTCAAGACCAATCTCAAATATTATATGCGAAGGCTTTCCTGCCTCCTAACCACCAAATATATAATCTGTCTTTCTATTGCGGTTCTATAGCACTGGTTTGGGTTTTTTTGGTGGGGTTTTTTGTGTTTTTTTGGTAATGGTACTTATTCTTTCTGGTATTGGTGGAATTCTCCTATTGTGTTTCGAGTTGGAACTGTTATCTTACTGTTGTTTTATCCCCTGAAGCATTTATAGTAGTTAATACTAAAAAATATATATTTCTCCTGGAAAACTCAATACTTTGCTTGAGGTTCAGAGGTTTGTTGAGGTTCACACCTCTTTTGTTGCTTTGTAGGAAAAACATTAGACTTCCCCTTTTCCTCCCTTGCCCCAATTCTCAGTTTCTGCTCTACAGCTACTTACTGCTGTCAGCATTGGGTTACTCTCCTCAAACTTGTTAGACCGCTGCCTTTGTCCATGTAGCCTGAACTGAATTTTTTTTTTTCTTATCTTTTTGCTTGACTATTTTTCTTTACTCTCTTTGAAAACCTCCATCACCTGACCTTTCACATCCTTTCTTTGCAGAATTATAATCTGGAGTTTTATCTTAATCCTCAGAACAAAAGCCTGAATGGGATGGGATTGGGAGTGGGAGCACAATTTATATAGGAATGGGTGTTGGGGCCTCTTCCTGAAATTTTTTTCCTCGAAGCTCTTCAGCTGTAAACCATTCATTGTTTTTGTTGAACACCAGGTAATCTTTAAATGCTCTTATTTGGGGATCTTAAAAATTCATCTGCTTCACATATTTATTCATTAAAATTTTTGAGCCTGTTTTCTGTGTAAGATACCATACTTTTTTCTGAATAATTTACCACATTTTGAATAGAGAGATGAATCTGATATGACCCTAAATTTGAATCCAGTACTACAGTTTCTTAGTTACGAGATCCTGAAGAGATGTTTTGTTTCAAACCTATAAAATGCCGGACAGCAATAAATAGTAGAAAGAAAAGAATAATATAAACACCCAAAGGAGAGATGCTTTAGGGTAATACAGGATCAGGAGAATTTATAGGATGAAGACAGAATATCCTTCTAGGGAATCTGGGAGAGGATCAATATAACAGATTTTTACAAAAGTATAATCAACATATCAACATGTTTACTTGGCTATGACAGAAAATGAGCTGGGAGCCGATAATGCAGACATGAGGGGGTGGGAGCCTAGCTTTGGGACTTAAAGTCTGCTTAGATATAAGAGATAGAGTGGCTGAAGTTAAAGAAGATTACCAAGCTTTAAGCCTCAGTGACAGGGAAGATTAGGGTAAAATAAAACAAAAGACCCCATGTTTGGGAGATAATTTATTAAATATTGTACATGTTGAAGATGCAGTGGTCTCAAAATGTAGATGATGTCAGCCAAGCGTTTTAAAACATGGGTCTAGCCTGCCGGGCGTGGCTCAGCAGTTGAGCGTCGACCTAGGATCCAGGCGATTGGGGTTCGATTCCCAGTCAGGGCACATGCCCGGGTTGTGGGCTCGATCAATGACTCTCTCATCATTGATGTTTCTATCTCTCTCTCTCCCTCTCTTTTCCTCTCTCTGAAATCAATAAAAATATATTTTAAAATAAATAAATAAATAAAACATGGGTCTAAAGCTTATTTCTGCGTGCATGGGTTTGGAAATCAAATAGAAATTGGGTAGCTTGCTAAAGGAGAGAGAGGATAGAGAAAATAAAAAAGGGCCAAGGAAGATGAAAATATTTAAGGGTAGGAAGAGGTAAGAGGGATCAGAAAGCTTAAAAAAGTAGGACCACAGTTACATGGAACCCCAAGCATTAAGACTATTTCAAAGAAAATAATCATCTTCTAAGTTCAGTGATGCAAAGAAGTCAGAAGTCAGAGGAGGCGAAGATTAGATAAGGCCGTTGGGTTTGTCAACTAAGCCATCCTTAGTGACCTTAAAGGGAACAGACTCACTGGATATAGAGGAATGAAAACCAGACTGTGAGAGGTTAAGGAGAGAATAGGTAGTAAGAAAGGAGAGACAGCAATTTTAGACTACTTTTTAAAAATATATGATCATAAAGAAAAAGAAAGAAAATAACGTATATAAAAATGAATTTCTGTTAGAAATTCTCTGGTTAAAATCCAAACAAATTAAGATTTTGGAAAAATAGAGACTAACATAGGAATCAAATAGGACTTCTATGCTCTGTTACTGTCTCAGCATTGCTAAAGCATCAATGATATATGATGGCATCGTATATTCATTTGAAAGTACTTTAGTACTTTCAAATCCTATAGGATTTTTATGCTAAATGAAACCCACAGATACTTTCCTAAAAAAGAAATTTCTAAAAATATTTGATTCTGGAAGTGAGGTTTTTAAAAATTTTTTTTGGTGTAGATTATTAACCCTAATCACTTTAGGGTTAGTATAAAAAGGGTTGGTTAAAATAGCTTATCAATTTTAGGTTACTGGTTCATTTCCTTAAGCTAATATTTTCATTTCCAATTCTCCTTAGACATGTTCTTAAGATTAAGCTTATCAGTTAAGTATTAAATAGATATAATTGCTTACCTTTTACATTTTCTTGTCTTATTCTTAGAGTTATTTTGAGTGACTTTGGAGACCTTTACAGGTGGAAAGTCATACTTCATTTGAGTTTACTTGAGAGTCTTAACTTGAAGTTTTCCTTCAGACCAGAAGTGCCAGTGAGGTTGACTCAAGTGATGATGACTGCAAAACTAAGAAAAATATCTAGCAAGAGATAGACTAAAATTTTGCTTTTGGACAATTTTAGCCCCCAGTGTCATCTTTTTAAATATTTCCTCAGATTTTTACTTAACTTCTCTGTGCCATTTACTAATCTGTAAAGTGAGAATAATACTACCTATCTCATAGGGTTATTTTGAGGATTAAATGGGTAAAACTATATAAAACACTAAGAACAGTGCACGACACATAGTAAATTCTCAGTAAATGTTAGATATCATTCTTATTTACAAATTAAGTATTCTTAACGTCTTTTATTCTTCCTTCTAATAATTCTTTCCCTTAAGGTTAAATGATAGTGAAATTGAACGACAGCATTTTAAGGACCAAGATATGTATTCTGATAAATCCGATAAAGAAAATGATCCAGAGCATGATGAGTCTGACAATGAGGTGATGGGGAAAAGTGAAGAAAGTGACACAGATACATCAGAAAGGCAAGATGACTCATATATTGAACCTGAACCCATTGAGCCTCTAAAGGAGACCACTTACTCTGAACAGAGCCATGAGGAACTTGGAGAGGTAAAAGTCTGTGATTTTCAGAGATTTGGGTTTTCTAATTCTTGGAAATTTTCAAATGAAATTAAATATATTTGTTTGACCTATTGCTTAATCTCCCAAAAGAATATTTCTATACCTATTTTATTTTAAAAGTTGCATACATATGAAATATATCAGGATTTATAAACAACTAAAAACATATAATACTTACACAAATATGAATATATTCTATTTAAAGTTTACATTTTCTTCAGGTTTGCTTTTGAAATAGGATGCTGCTAGATGTCATTGCCAGGTACAAGTAAATTGCAAGGAAATGAGTTTATAACTTTCTTTATTATTGCTAGGGCATAGAAGTAGAGATAGGATAGTGGAGTATAATATTTCTGTAATGGAGTCTTATCATTCACTTTGATGTCCCTTGCAACTACCCTTTTTATCTAAACTTTATAGCTATAGATTTTATTATTATTTAATAGGTTATTTTCACATTTTAAGAATGCTTGCACTGGACAAATAGAGAATTCTGATTTTCAACATTAGCTGTCTTTTCTATACATCTGTATGTCTGAAATAAGTATAATATTTCAGTATTTCTTGTTAATTGCTAAAGGCAGGTGAGGCTTCTCAAACAGAAACTGTGTCTGAAGAAAACAAAAGCCTTATCTGGACACTGCTGAAACAAGTCCGTCCTGGCATGGACCTGTCCAGGGTGGTTCTGCCTACATTTATTTTGGAACCTCGTTCTTTCCTGGATAAACTTTCAGATTACTACTATCATGCAGATTTCCTATCTGAGTAAGTAGATTCTTATTTCTTAAAACAGAAGATACTTCTTGGTTTTAGAGGCTTTCCAGAGTGCTAGTCAATGGTTATGCCTTACCAAAATCGGGTTCTAATGAGATATCACTCTCTTCTCTACTACCTCTGTAGTTGACCTTAATAAGTAAGAAACATATTTAATACTTTGGTGTACTGTTTTCAGTTGAGTTGAGCAATGACCAGCTTGAGGAGTACAGGAATTTTGCCCCTCACCTGACAGCACTGTTTTCACAGGCTCCCTGGCTGTTCACAGGCCTAACACAGGGAACGTGGTTGGTTGGCATTCTTCGCTTTCCTCCACTTCAGCCCTCTTCAGGTCCGTCCTAGGGCTTGTGCTTTTGTTTATAGTTACCCTCTGCATTTTTGTGAGGTGCATGCAGCCTACGTGATCCAAATGCCCTGCCAGTTGCTGGCTCTTGGCATAAATCTCCTCTTTTGTCTGCTTTTGTTCCTGCCAGCTGTTTCAGAAGATGGCAGGCATAAAGGAGGTGGAGGAGGAACTGTCCAGGTCTGTCCCAACAGTTGTTAAAGACAGCAATTTTGTATGTTTCCAAGTTTCACCTGCGCCCCCATTCCAGCTACAGTGGTGTTTCAAGGCACTGTTTTCTAAGATTCTAAGTTCTGGCCCTGTGACCTCTTTTTTAGATTCTGTATCAATATCTGTATTCATCTTACTGGTTGCATTATTAGTCTATTAGTTGTATTAATAAACAACTAATTGCAAAAATCATAAGCTAAATCAAAAGATCATTGATAAATTATGGAAGATTTTTGCAAATTAAATCATGCACAAACTGTTAATCTCCCTAAAATAAAAAGTGCTCTTACAAAGTGATTGAAAATGATAAACAACCTAATAGAAAAAGAGTGGAGGAAATGACTAGTTTAAAAATGAAGAAATAGAAATAGTCCTTAAATATACACACTTCACACAAAATAAGAAAAATGCAGATGCAAACTATAAGGTACTATTTTTTTATCCATCAACATTGACCAAAAGTCCAAAAGCTTTAATACCTCAGTTCTGCCTTATATACCTTATTATATTTCTTTCTTTTATCTTTCTAGAAATTCACTTCTCTCAGAGTGTGAGGTAGGTTCCTGTGAATTACAATAAGATCTTGAGAGATGCCCATTTTTCCCATATTGAAAGGTTGCACTTTTCTGGTAACACACACTATTTTATTACCAAGGCACTTATACACTGCTGCTGGGTGATGTAAACTAGCACAGGGCCTTTGAAAAGAACTGGCAGTACTTGCCAGAATTATAGATACAGTAAATCCTTTGATCCAGTAATCCTGCTTCTGGTAATAATTCCTACGGATATAGCTCTGCATATACAAAATGATATATATATATACAAGATTGTTGCACCAGGGTTTGTAATAGTATAAGATTAGATAACTCAAGTGTCCAGCCACAGCTGACTGATTAAATAATGTATAGTGCTTCCACACATAAGGAAGAACCCTATAAACTGATAAGGAGGGATCTTCAGCATTATGTGTGTGTGAAAAAAGCAAGGTACAGAAAAATGTGTGTAGTATGGTCCTTTTTTATTTTTTAATTTTTATTTATTTATTTTTTTAAATCTTTATTGATTTCAGAGAGAGGAAAGGAGAGGGAGAGAGAGAGAGATAGAAACATCAATGATGAGAGAGTCATTGATTGGCTGCAGCCTGCAACCTGGGCATGTGCCCTGACCGGGAATCAAACCCCGATCGCCTGGATCCTAGGCTGATGCTCAACCACTGAGCCACGCCCGACAGGGCAGTATGGTCCTTTTTTAAAAGAAAAAAGGAAAAGACTACATAGTTTCTTCTTTATGCTTAAAGAAAACTGTTTATTTAAAAAAAAATAAAAGCTAAAAGAAGTTCCCTATAGGACATAAGTAGAAAGAGCATGGAGAGATGGGACAATAGCAAGACGTGATGTATACTTTTTTATATTGCTTTGAGTTTTGAACTGTGTGTCCTATGTGTATGTAAAATATAAAATAAAATATTATAGTAAGATTTAAGTCAGGATAGGAAAAGAGCAATTAAAAGGTGGTTAGTCCTGAAAAGTGCAGGCTTTCAATTTGGCATAATTGTCAATAAGCCTAGATGTAGCCTCTTTCATCTTGCATTTTATCTTCGAAAATCACATTGGACCTTCAGACATGCTTAAAGGGTGTAATAGATAGTTACATTGTAAAATAAGTGATAAACAGATGAACTAACTTCTCAGTAGAATTCACTTCTGACTTATACAACCAATATTTTACAATGTTTACCCGTCACCAAAAGGGCAGCAAGGGGGCAGCTTAATCAGGACTTATAAAATTTTTTTCTTTAAAATGAAAATTATTCTTTGATTACCTGTTATACTGGTAGACTTGTTCACTCTGGAAAATCTGTTGATAGCACATAGGGGAGGTTGAAGGCTAAAAATGGGTTAAAAACCTTTTTGATAGGTTTAAATTATTTTAAATCTTCCATATTTGTGATTCAGAACTTCTGTATTTTGTACAAGGGATTAAAAAGGCATATAATCCTATACTTAGGGAGGCTGTGCAGAAGAGGCTGGCATCAGCCTGTTGTCCTCCCTTCGTGTACTATAGTACTCACAGTTACCGCTGATCTCTAACATCAGCAAGTGAGAATAGAGTGAATCAAGTGGACATGGTTCTTCTCTGACGTACGGGACTGAACACCTCATACAGAGTTGTTAGTGAGACTGTGCGGCCACTGCTCCATTATTGCAAATGCTAGGCATCAAACAGTAGATGAATCTCAAAATCTGTGTTTATTTTTTTCAATCACAATTATAGAACCCCTAGCAGCATCTGTAGTTCTGCAGAACCCCAGTTGAGAAGTCTTTGGAGAGTTTTCAGAAATGTTGAGCAAAGACCCAGACAGCATGTCAGTAACCAGATTATAAAAAATGATTCTTACAAAGTGATGTACATGGTTGTTTTTGACATCTATTTTAAATATGAATTGTGCTTTCAATCATATCTTATATTTAGTTGTTGACTTGATAAATATGAGGGAGAATTTGTGATACATTGTATAAAATTTTTATTTACCATTTGTTTTTTAGGGCTGCTCTTGAAGAAAATCCTTATTTCCGCTTGAAGAAAGTAGTGAAATGGTATTTGTCAGGATTTTATAAAAAACCAAAGGTAATGTTTATATTTTACTTTTTCCAGCCTTATATGCGTTCTTTATTTTTTATCTTTATTTATTAATGATTGCATAACAAGGCCTCAAGGTGGCAAAATTGCAAAATACTTGATCATTTAGTTCTGGATTATGATTTAAGTCATTTAACTTTATTTTATGTCACTACTGTGAAATTTTATAAGGATAACTCCCAGATAATACAGCTAAACCCATCTTGACTGGTTTAAACTATTTTGAATCTTCCATATTTGTAATTTGAAACTTGTATGTTTTTTACTAGGGACTGAAGAAACCTTATAACCCTATACTTGGTGAGACTTTCCGTTGTTTGTGGATTCATCCCAGAACAAACAGCAAAACTTTTTACATTGCTGAACAGGTAATAGAAATGTTTCTTAAGAAACAAAACTGATTCAGAAGTTATTGGGGTATTTTTATAGAAAATAATAACTCAGTAAGCTCACTGTTGATTAACCTTTATTAATGAACATTTGATAAGTATTTTATCTTTTAGCACTAAGTACTACTATATACATACTCAAAAGAGTTACTATTGCAGTCATAGAATCCTGTGACAAAAAATAATCCCCCACCCCTTTGCCAAAATTCTTCAGTGTTTCCCCAGTTCCTAAGTCAAATATATACCATTTGTGTGACATTCAAGGTCCTCCATATCTTTTTTATTTTACCTCAAATTACATGGTTTTCTGAGCCTTTTCATAGTAGTCAAACCTGTGCATTTACAATTAGGTAACCTAGTATTACACTTCTTTCTTTGCCTTAGTATTTTTTTTTAATATATCTTTTATTGATTTCAGAGACAGGAGGGGAGAGAGAGAGAGAGAGAGAGAGAGAGAGAGAGAGAGAAACATCAATGATGAGAGAGTCATTGATCGGCTGCCTCCTGCATGCCCCCTACTGGGGATCGAGCCCGCAACCTGGGCATGTGCCCTGACCAAGAATCGAACCTCGATGTCCTGGATCCTAGGTCGATGCTCAACAGCTAAACCATGCCTAGCCAGTCCACCTCACTATAAATCTTCACTAAATTGAAAAGCTTGAGAAGAGTTTAATTGATTTTAGCTTTGTCTCATTTCAGAAAATGTATGTATATTAAAATATTAGATGATTAAAATAACATATATGTCAAAGCTTTTGTTAGTTTCCTATAGCTATTCATAATTTAAATGAATAGCCACTGTGTTAGTTATCCACTTTTGTATAATAAATTACTGACAAAACTTAATGGCTTAAAGCAACATTTGTTATCTCATACAATGAGGTTCAGGAATTTGGAGCTCCTTCACTGAGTGGTTCTAGCTCTGGGTCTCCTATGAAGTTGCAGTCAAAATGTCATCTAGCTTTGCATTCCTCTGAAGGCTTAAGTGGGCTGGAAGATTCTACTTCCAAGCTCGTCACATAGTGTTTGACAGTAGGACTTAGTTCCTCACTATATGGGCCTCTCCATTGGTTTGTTCATAATATACAAGCTGGCATTCTAGAGCTAATGATCTGAGACAGAGACACATCAAGATGGATGCTGCATTATCACCTAATTTCAGAAGTGACATACTATCACTATCATATAAACCAACTTTGGTACAGTGTAAGAGGAGCCCACCTAATGGTGTGCCTATTAGGGGGTGAGGTTCCTTGGCAGACATCTTGGAGGCTGATTACTGTAATGATCAATGTTTAATTTTACTACTTACCAAATCTTTCTTCTTTATTAATAGAGTATTCTTTTAAGACTTGAATTTTTTATAATAGCACAATAATATGCTTAATATATTCTATGTTTTTTCCTATGTTCAATAGGTGTCCCATCATCCACCAATATCTGCCTTTTATGTTAGTAACCGAAAAGATGGATTTTGCCTTAGTGGCAGTATCCTGGCTAAGTCCAAGTTCTATGGTGAGTTTCCTCTTGTCTAAGTAGGCACCCTTTGCTGAGACTAGAGGTAGTATTTTTTAGTGAGCTTTTATTTAAACGGTGCCTTGAGATGCTTTCAGTAAGGAATTTTTATGTCATTTTAAGTGTCATATTTACTTAGATAATGACTTTTATGTGTTTTTCTTTCTCCATTCATAAATAGAGGTATGACTCATTTTATATAGGTATACGTCCCATATATGTAAATTTATTACAAACACCATTTATTAAAACACAAACTAATGATTGCCCACTATGGTAGCCCTTTTAGTGCATAATGTATTTAGCCCTTACTAAGGTTTTTGTTCCATCTTAATGAACCCAAGGAGTTAGTTTTTCTATTTTAGCCTTTGACTAGAGAGAGAAAGAATCCAAGTTAGTTAGAATACTTGGTCCAGTGTCATGTACTAACAATATTTAACCTTGGACCCAAAAATATAGCAATAAAAGCTTTTGTTAAGTACAGGGGGAAATAGAAATAAAGTTACAATAAGAAACCTTAAACCAAAAACTGTAACAGTGTAAACAAACAAATCATGGCCACAGCTATGCACTAGTAGAAAACATATAACCTTAAATGCTTTTGTTTTTTTATAAATTAATTTTAAATGGAGAAAATCAACAAATTAAATTTCAACTGAAGAATTTTAAACTTGAAAGAAAAAAATAATTATGGTTAAATAAGAAAGATAAAATATATCAACAGAAATCCATAGATAAGTCTGTAACGTGGAAATCTAACAGTGGTTTTTGGTCCAGGAAAATGATGTATGCCTTTATTTTCTTCAAAATGTTTTTCTATTCCCTAATGTTAGTTTTATTTGGGTTTTGTTTTCTTTTGGGTTTTTTTGCCTAGTTTTTATGTTATGTTTATTTCAGAGGGTGATTGTTTTCTTCTGAAGGTTACATATATTTGTTACTCCCTCTCCATTGCACCTTCCTTCCATTCACACCCATACTCTAACTATAGTGTAAATGGCTTACGACCACCATCAGCCACCTTACCTTAATTGATATTACTAAAACCTGACAGTTAACAATTACAGCATGCACATTATTTTCAAATACATGTATGGTGTTGTCACTGGTCTAGATCATGTGTTTGACCATAAAATAACTCTCCATAAATTTCAATAAGACTGAAAATTATGCAGAATATGTTCTGCAACTTCAATGAAATAGAATTAGAAATAAAGGATATGATATCAAGATAAATTCCAAATATTTGGAAGTTAAGTAACACTTCTAAATAATTCATGGGCCAAAGAAGAAAGCACATGAGAAATTATTATATATTTTAACCTAAATGATGATGAAAATATAACATTAAAATTTATGTGATGCAACAAAAGCAATGCTTAGAGGGAAATTTATAATTTTAAATTAGAAAAGGAGAAAGATCTAAATCAGTGATCTGATTTTTTATCCTAAGAAATTAGAAACATTTACTATATGCTAATTACATTTATTAATATGTAAATTGTTATACTTATGGAAGAAAAGCTAGAAGAAAATACCCTGAAATTTTATTATTGATTACAAGGGTTATGGATTATGTATATTTTAAATTTTCTAAAGTATCTATAGCATTTTTATGTCCAAAGTACTTAAAGCTTGGGACTTAAGTAATGTGACTTACAGAAGAAATAATGTTTTTATTAAAAAGTGGACAAATTAAGCTATACAGTGAAACAGTGTTTCATTGCATGTTCTACATGTTTAAGATTTTTCTTAAAAGCCTCATGTAATTAACATAAATAAGCACATAACTCTACTTTTAAAAAGTACTCATTTTATAAGAATGAAAATATAGATCAAGTATGTTTTAGATTAAGATAGCAAATATATGTTTACATTGAGACTAAGATATTTTTATTTTTAAGACATTCCACTGTAGATGTGTGGTTAGGTGTTCTAAATATGTTTCATTTGTTTTGAATTGGTTGAATTAGTTTTGTGAAATTTAATAAACATTATTTATTTCAGGAAACTCATTATCTGCAATACTAGATGGAGAAGCACGATTAACTTTCTTGAATAGAGGTGAAGATTATGTAATGACAATGCCATATGCTCATTGTAAAGGTAAGTATTTTCCATACTTGAGTGAGATATTCCTAAAACGTTTTAAAATAAATGTATATGGCTATAATTTGTTATGTTTTGAGATTGATGAAGTCAGTCTTTTGTTTTAAAGATCCTTGTTTTACAGATACTTAAGATTATTACTGTAATATGCTGAACTAATTAATCTACAGTGGACTTTTTGTGACGTACTTTAGTTGGAAGAGGCTGATTACAATAATGGAATTTCATTTGCCTTAAGTGCAGGTTTTAAAATTTGATGAAACTACCCATTGTTTGAGAGTCCTCAAAAGTGACTTTCATTGTCTTGGACCGACCACCATACCTTTTTAAAATTTTAATTCAGTGGTTTTTAGTGTACTAAGTCTTTTATATATATATATATATATTTTATTGATTTCAGAGAGAGGAAGGGAGCGGGAGAGAGAGAGATAGAAACATCAGTGATGAGAAAGTGATTGATCGGCTGCCTCCTGCATACCCCCTACTGGGGGATCAAGCCCACAGCCTGGGCATGAGCCCTGATTGGGAATCAAACCTCAGTCTCCTGGATCATAGGTTGATGCTCAACTGCTGAACCATGCTGGCCAGGCAGTGTACCAAGTCTTAAAAAAAATTTTCTCATCCTCATGATTTTTACCCATTATTTAGGATACAGATACAGATATTAAAATTACTATTATTTACAACAATCCAGGCACCCAACTGTTCTGTGCACTTTATAAACTCAGTCATTCCAGTAGCCCTTATAAAGTAGGTAATATTATCCCTGTTTTATGGACAATGAAAATGAGGCACAAAGAGGTCACTTTGCCTGATATCGCAGAGCTAAGATGTGGCAGAGTCAAGATTTCACAATCTGCACTACCATGCTGGGGGTGGAATCAGCTTAAACACTCAGATTGGTCATTATCTGTACCCTCTTTTCCAACCCATTTCTTAAAAATAACTATTTTTGGTAATTACCTTCTATTTTAGGAACTGATTCATGAAAATATAGAACTTAACATGACCTTATTTCACAGATGAGAAAATTGGGAGGGTTAAGAATCTTATCCAAGGCCAAACCAGCTAGTTAAGTAAGAATGCTGAGACTGACCTCTAGGCTTGTTGATCCCCATATACTGTAGCATAAATCTACCTAGTACTGTGTACGAGAATGGCCAACTTGTGGCCTGTTGCTACATAATTCTTAGAGCTTCATGTGTGGTTCTTGAAATAGACGTGAAGTAAAATATCTGAAATGATTAATTGAATTGATAAATATAGTTTCAAATTTTATATCATTTGAAATAAATGGTATTTCTTGTAGATAACCCAATACCATACCCAACTCGCAACAGTGGAAAATTTTTTCATAGTAGTGTTTTTCTTGCATGGAAAAAAGAGATTCTTACTCTTTGTGAATGAGCATAGGAAATAATGTTTATTTTCTACCCTGTATACTTTCTAAGATGTGTTCCCTAAAACACTAGTCTCGTTTCACAAAATTAGAGTTGCGAAGTCAAATAAGAATGAGAAGTCTTGCATAGTTTGTCCCCTTCTTGGAAATGAACACTGTTTTTTAAAATTAGAATTTCTTAACCAAATAAGCATGAGAAGCCTTGCATAGTTTGTTCCCCTTCTGGAAATGAATGTTGTTTTACAAAATTAGAGTTCTTTAGTCAAATAAGAATCTGAAGTCTTACATAGTTGGTTCCCTTCTTGGAAATAAGCATTGTGCATTTGCATATTAAGACTGCCTTAACAGCTTGTTCCAGGAACAGATACACACACAAATTTTTTGTTTAACTCTGTTAAACTCAGAATTTCCTCAGCTTTTAGCCACAGAACCTATTTGGGGGGATTTATTTGTTTGTCTTATACAGTTGATTCTTGTTATTTGCTGTAGTTACGCTCTATAGTCACCACAAACACTGAATTAATGAATACTGAACCATTGCTCCTAGGGCAAATACTTCCTGTGAGCCTCTTGTTACATGTTTATCAACCAGTCAATACACAACCTTGTTTCTGTTTAAAGACACCTTATTTAATATATACTATTGATTCATTAACATTGAACTAACAGCCAACAGCACTATAACTCATGTCAGAGCCAAGCTTTAACACACATTCTCTCTGAAAAGTACATCACAGCCTTCTGTGCTTAGGAACACTAGACAGCACTTCAGCTCTACATTTGGGGGCCATTTTAAACAGTAATGTCATCAACAGAGAGCACAAAAATGTGAAAAATGTGGCACTAACTATACTGCAGAAAAGACACCTTTTTACCATCTGAAAGATACAAGAAGGCAGAGTGTCACCTTGTTCGACCTCAGCTGGGAATGTGCACATTGGACAACTCAAAATGCCCATGTCCATGGATGACTGCAAAAATGCTGTGGGTAGTGATTTGGAGATTACTAATATATTTTAGTTGAGTATGTGAATATGCAGATATGGAATCTGCAAATAATGTGGATCAACTATTATCTCTTCAATCCTACAGAACTAAATTTATATGTATATTATAGATTGTTATTGAGTGGGATAGAGTACCCTCGCATTATTATTTTCTCTAGAAGGAAATTAGATTTTAAAGCTCTATTTGTTATTAGCCAGTGTCTCTCTCTTCAACCTTTTGTCAAAATTTTTTTTCTTTAGGAATTCTTTATGGCACAATGACACTGGAGCTTGGTGGAACAGTCAATATTACATGTCAAAAAACTGGATACAGTGCAATACTTGAATTTAAACTAAAGGTTAGTAGAGAATAATAGGAGGTGTCACCCAATAAAGGAGGAGCTGTGCTATAAATATTAAAGAACACAGTTTAGTTTCACAGTTTAGTCTTTATATTAAAGACTAAATATAAGGACACAGAATTCATGAAAGGGCAGCCTTGGAAGATCCAAATCACTACAGAGCCATCATTTTTTATTTTTTTATTTTACTTAATAAAATGGTTGGCATTATATAGGAGATGAGATCTAAGAAAAGTAAATGGATAGAAATTTTTCAGTTAATTAAAGCACTGCTTCAAAAAATACCAAAAAGTATGTAACTGCATGAACTGCAGCTGTGTACACTAAGACAGAGTTCTGTTAGTTACTATTTCTGCCTAACAATTTACTCTTAAAACTCATAAGCTTAAAAACACCATTTTCTGATCCTTAGGGCTTCTGTGGGTTGGGAATTTGGACAGAATGTATTAGGGATGACTTATCTCTGCTACATAATGTCTGGGGCTTCAATTAGGAAGACTTGCAGACTATGAGTGACTCAACAGTTGGAGCCTAGAACCATCTGAAGACTCATCAGTTATGTGTCTGATGCCTGGTTGGGATGACTGAAAGACTAGGACTGCTAATCTGAACACCTATATATGTGGCCTTTCCATGTAGCCTAGATTTCTCACAGCCAGTTGGTAGCTTCAAGGCAATTAGACTAACCACTTGGCAGCTCAGGGTTCCAAGTGCAAGTGTCCTTGTGAGCAAGGTGAAAGCTGCATCACATCCATGACTTTGCCTCAGAGGTCAAATTATATCACTTCCACCACCTTCTATTAGTTGAAGAGTTATAAACCTACCCAAATTCAAGGGGAAGGGATGTAGGCTCCGCTTGGGAGGATGGCAAGGTATCATTGAAGAAGAGCATGTGGGCTGGAGGGGGGTGGATAGATATGCTTGAGACAATCTTTGAAAAGTTCTGTCTCCCTTAGAGTGAAAGGGAAATTTAAGACCTTTCACAGTGTCAGTGGTTGGTATAAGATAATACATTACGTTCAGATAAAATATTTCTATGAACTATTTAATATTTATTATTAGCTCCCATGTTGATATCCATCTGATCAGCAACTTTTCTCTAATAAAAAGGAACTCTTTTAAGTATCATTAGATGCAATGCTCTTCGTTCGATTTTTTTTCACCTTAACAAATTTTTGTTTGTATGGTGATAATGCTATTTGGAAATCATGACTGAAGAGGCCTTAAGTAACTTACAGTACCTTTAAAGATTAGATTAGAGCACCAAAATTTTGTCACTGAGGAGAAACAGCAGTAATGCAACATAGTAACTCAAAGTGTATTTCTTCTAATTTTATTTTCTGGAGGGATTTTTGGTTGAGTATTATTTTCCTGTTTTATTTTGAGGGAGGGGGTGTTTTTTCTTTTAATAGATGAGTTAAGTCCTTTAGGTTTGCTGAGTTAATTTTGCTTTATATATTGCTACATTGATAGAGTACAGTCTTGAGTCAGGAGAGAGCAAAGAACTTAAGTCAATTACATCAGTTTGATCTTAAGTTTATTTGAACTTCACGTAGTCTGATTTTTTTAAACCTATTTTTTCCATGTCAACAAATTCAAATGTCTTCTTATTGAGCATTTATTACTAAAATTTGAGTCTGTATTTCACTATTTGTGCCTTCAACAGCATTATAACTGTGCAGTTACTTTTTCTGTTGCTTTTGTCTGCATTGTATCTAAATATAAGTTAAAAGCAAAGTGTTTATTTAACATTTTCTCTTTTAAAAGCCATTTCTAGGTAGTAGTGACTGTGTTAATCAAATAGCAGGGAAACTTAAACTGGGAAAAGAAGTCTTAGCTACGTTAGAAGGTCATTGGGTAAGTATTTTTATGTTTTAGCTTAACAAAAGAATTCTATTCTATGGAAAAAAGTTAACAGTCACATTTTATAAACTCACTTATTCCATTGCTAAAATCACCACTATTTAACATAAGCTTCAGCTTAACACACATTTTGGTGTTGCTCTTTTACCAACAATATCTGGTTTTACCTTCCAATATGTAATGTTCTACCTTCCAAAACTTTAAATCAGTAAAACCAGCTAACACTTATATGTCACTTACTATGTACTACATTGTTTAAAAAAGTAGATGTTAACTCATTCAGTATTTAGTATAACTCTATATGGTGGGTACTCTTATTGTCCCCGTTTTACAGAGGACACTGAAGCACGGAGAGTTTAAATACTTTGCTGAGAGTAGCTGGAGTGAGAATTCCAGCCTAGGCAGTCGGCCACCAGGGCTGTGCTTTTATTACAGCAGTTTACTGCCTCACCTAGGAGGAAGGGGCGTTTCGAATTAGAGTTATAGTTCCTTTTCAGGAACATGGAAAGGCTGTAGTGGTATTTGAGAGCGATGGCTTTTATTTACTTCCCCGTTAACCTAAATTCACATCTATATAATTTTGTTAAGAGAAGCTTAAGTGAATAAAGGATCATATCATGCTGTTGCTTAGATGCACTCTCACTGTGAACATTGAGTATACTATTTTATGCATTATACATGAAAATGATAAGAAATGTAAGAAAATGAAACTGGATCTAGAAACTCAACTATAAGGCCACATACTCTGTAATGTTTACAGTTTACTTCTATCTGAATATCATTTGGAAAAAAGATAAGAATCTTTTCTTTTAAATGAAATTTTTTAGATTGTGCTCAAATTTTTAACGCCAAGAAAGGCTCTTTTGGGTTTTTCTATATATGTTGAGTGTGTAAAGAGTAATCTGTATCTCTTTGTAGCTGTAATAAACACTATGGTTTCACTTTGGCAATTCGGAGATGATAGATGAGGCTTTGCCTATAATTGTTTGAAATTTGCTTCTTAAGTAAAACTTACGAAATCTCATGAACTACCTGTGTATTCAATCAAAATTTAAAATTCTAGTATTACATATTTAATCTTAGTATTTTTCTAAAAATGACAAAAGATTTGGGGCTTTTAGAAAAGTGCTAGCTGTATTTGTTTTTAAAATGCATTTAACTATGGGATTAAGTATCAAGAAGTAGTGCTATACTATATAATCCCCTTTTAAATAACAATAATTCTCTACATTAATATTTAATATCTTTAAATACAGGATAGTGAAGTTTTTATTAATGACAAAAAGACTGATAATTCAGAGGTTTTTTGGAATCCAACACCAGACATTAAGCAATGGAGATTAATAAGGCACACTGTAAAATTTGAAGAGCAGGGAGACTTTGAATCAGAGAAGTAAGTATACCATATTTCAGCTGATTTTATGATGATACAGTGTATATTTTTAATCCCTCAAAAGTGTGGTCACTTTTCTCTGCCTTTAGTCATATTTCAATTCAGCAAAATAGTTTAACATTTGTGAGATGTGACAGGATTCTCTTTTAGTTTATGTGAACGTTAAATAAATATTATACAAATCATGCTACTTTTTTGCAGCTCAAAGATAAAACTTCCCATTTTTCTTCTTTCTTATCTGCTCCAGGGCCTATTAAAATAAAAAAGAACTTCTAGTTTGTTTACATACAATTATGGGACTAATTAATGATTCTTGGGTTTTATTTGGCACCTGTTTTCTAACCTGGGTAAGGCATGTAGAACTCTAGGTGAAGGATGTGGCACAAAAATCTACTTTTTGTTTCATTTTTCTAAAATACATGAATAATGCCACTGCACGTGCAGACTTCTAGAAGACTGGCACTAGTTGAATAATAATTAAGGCCATAGTTTCTGCTCTTAAAATCATGAAATTCTTACTAGATCTGTAACTTTTGAACCAAATATACTGTATACACATTGTCCAATTTTGTTCTTACTGTATTTCTATACTGGCACTTTATACACATTGTGCAGCGTAGTCCTCATTACAGGTTGCCATATGCATTATCATACTCTCTAGTGGGATTCAAGTGTGTGTACTTTTCTTCTACGCTCAAAATTGAGGTGGTGCCCTGGCCGGTGTGGCTCAGTTGGTTGGAGCTTCATCCTGCACACTGAAAGGTCACGGATTCAAATTCTGGTCAGGGCACATACCCAGGCTGCGGTTCAGTTCCCAGTTGGGGCACGAACAGGAGTCAACCAATGTTTTTCTTTCATATCACTGTTTTTTTCTCTCCCTTCCTCTCTCTAAAATCAATGAAAGCATATCTCAGGTGAGGATTAAAAAGAAAATTTGAGGTTGTCAAAGATGGAATAATATGTATGCAGTTCTAAAATTCTGTATCAGCTGTAACCACATGATGCTCTTCATTCAGAGTGAAGCTTTGCCAAGGCATACAATAATTTTTGAGGTGTGAACATAATTTAATGTATTTTAAAGATGAGGAAAATGAGTCTTAGGCAGGATAAGTAACTTTAAGTTTACCATCCAAGGAGTGGCAGATCTAGGATTCAACCAAGGTCTAATTCCAAAGCCTTTGTTCTGTCAGTCCCAACATGCTGTCTTCCCAGATTAGTGGAATATAGATATTACATTTTTGTTCATCTGATATAAAACTAAACTTTAGTAGGAGAAAGGATTTTACCTCAGTACTCTTTTCTGGTAAACTAGTGGTTTTCAACATTGGCTACACATTAAAATCACCTGGGAAACATTTTTTTTTTTTTTTTAATATATCTTTATTGATTTCAGAGGGAGGAAAGGAGAGGGAGAGAGAGAGATAGAAACATCAATGATGAGTGTCATTGATTGGCTGCTGCCTGCACGCCCCTGACTGGGGATCGAGCCCCCAACCCCGGGCATGTGCCCTGACCAGGAATCGAACCCCGATCGCCTGGATCCTAGGTTGATGCTCAACCACTGAGCCACGCCCAGCCAGGCACGGAAACATTTTTAAAAAATACTCTGCTCGCTCCCAGAGATTATGATTTTAACAGTTCCCTGATAATTCCCACATTCGAGATTGAGAAGCATGGCATTACAATATCTGATCTTTGAGGCCAGTCTATCTTAAATAGTATGTATAAGAATCATCTGGGGAGCTTGTTAAAATTTTAGATTATTGAACTGTTGTTTACATTCCTGTCATCTTAGGTCAGCACCATTCATTGCCATACGTTTAAGAGCCCATGTAATAAATGTCTCTTGCCAAGAAAAAAAATTAGTCTCCACTGTATTGCTGTACTCAAGGACCACTTTTTTTATATCTGCACTAATTTCTAAGCATCTCAGCGTAAGCTTTGTCAAAGACAAAAGCCCACATGGAAATCATTTCCTCTCAAGCGAATTTAAACCTATTCAATGTAGATTTGATTTTCTGTTGCTTTTTTATGCTATTTTTGCACATGTATTAGACTATGGCAGCGAGTAACTCGAGCCATAAATGCAAAAGACCAAACAGAAGCTACTCAAGAGAAGTATGTTTTAGAGGAAGCTCAAAGACAATCTGCCAGAGATCGGAAAACGAAAAATGAAGAGTGGACTTGCAAGTTATTTGAACTCGATCCACTCACAGGAGAATGGCATTACAAGTTTGCAGAGTAAGTAATTATCAGCATAATTTGTTGCCTTTATTTCTAGAATTTTTGTTGTTAGTTTTTTATTAAGCCATATACACACACACACACACACACATATAAATTAGTGTGAGATTTAAATTTAATGTTCCATTTATTATAGATTTGACTCCATGATAGTAGTTAGCCTATAAAATAAGCTGAGGATCAGAAGACTTGATATGATGAATCTTAATCTTATAGCTAAGTTTATAATTACTAAAGAAAATCTAATCTAAACTTTGAAAGTTTTTAAGTATTTTGTTTACTCATTAAACAAATGGTTTGTTTTTTATTTATGTAGTACTCGACCATGGGACCCTCTTAATGATATGATACAGTTCGAAAAAGATGGTGTTGTCCAGACTAAAGTGAAACATCGCACTCCAATGGTATGTAATAGAAAAGTATCTACATCTGCTAGACATATAAATGTTTTAAATCCTTACTAAGACCTTTGGCCACCAACATTTAAAAGTTGGTTTCAAAATTTTAAATTTTTGGTTGGGAAAATGGCAGAGTAGGCAGTTCCAAGCTCTTATCCCTCCAAAGAAACAAAGAAAAGCAAGTTGAAGCTGTCAGATCCAAATTTCCCAGAACTCTGGAAAACAGATGTTCACAGTACTTAAATGAACACTGAATCAAGAAAGAGATGACTTCAAAGCACTAGGAAAGCTTTATGGCATTTTTACTTGACTTGGGTCTAATTTCTTCCTGATGCAGTGGCATTGAAGGGTTCCCACATTCCCAGTGTGGGCCATGGTTCCAGAAGGAGCAGAGCAGACCTTACTCACAAATTGTTTTGTACATCTGTTATAACCTGTCTGGGCCTGAAGGATTTATACAGGGCCCATGTCTCTGTTTTATCTAATTTAGAGCTCAGCTAGATAGATTGCAGGCAATGAGTGGAAGTACTACAAGCCAAACTAGCAAGCTGCAGACACCCAGGGCAAAAGATTACCATTGAAACATATAATAGATCATGTAAGGCCCAGGAACAAAAGATTCTTTGGCAAACTAGAACATTGAAAAGCCCCATGTGTAATTTAGAAAGCCATACAAATGTCCAAGGCAAGATATTTATGCTTAGAAATGACCTGCAAAAACCCTAAGATTTTACCTGAGGCTAATACCTGGGCTTTTTGCAAGTCCAAGTATAAGCATTGAATGCCCCTGCATAGAGTTATTCTGCTAAGACTAGGAGAGTATTTTTTTGTCTTTTTTTACTTGTTTAGCTATTCAGGAAAATCTCTGTCAAAATACTAGTTTAACATAGCTAAGGAACAGAGATTTCAGTGACCATGCACAACAAGGAGTACAGTTTTGTGGGGGGAGGGGAGTGTCAAAAACTAGTTTGGAAAATTCACTGAACAAATTCAACAATCCAGAAAACAGCAAACCCTGGGGAAGGTGGAGAATCTTTTTCCAGAGTTACCACATTATAAAATGTAGATGTCTAGTTTTCAACAAAGAATTACAGAGCACACAAAGACACAGGAAAATATGAGTCCTTAAAAGGAACAAAATAAATGAACAGAAATCACCCTTGATGAAGTCCAGGCATGAAACATACCAAAGACTTTAAAGCAACTGTCTTCAGTATCCTCAAAGAGTTAAAGAAAATCAGGACAAGGAACTAAAGGAAATCAAGAAAAAGATGTGCTAAAATCAGTATCAATAAAGAGAAATAATATAAAGGAACCAAACAAATTCTAAAGCTTAAAAATACAGTAATAGAAATGAAAAATTCACTGGAGATATTCAACAGCAGAATCAGTGAATTTAAAAATAGGACAATTGAAATTATCTAGTCTAAGGAAGAGAAAGAAAAAAAATGAAGAAAAGTGAAGAGAGCCTAAGGTACCTATGGGGCACCATCAAGTGGATCATCATATGCATTAAGGGAGTCACTGAAAAATTAGAGAAAGAGAAAGAAACAAAGGAATATTTGAAGAAAGAAGTCCTCCAAATTCCCAAATTTAATAAAAGATATGAATCTATAAATTGAAGGAGTGCAACTAATTCCAAGTAGGATAAATTCAAAAGATACCCACATCGAGACATAATAAGCAAACTATCAAAAGCCAAAGAGAATCTTGAAAGCATCAAGAGAAGCAACTTGTCACATATGAAGGATCTTCAATAAGAGTAACCACCAATTTCTCATCAGAAACCATGGAGGCTAGAAGGCATGAGATGACATACTTAAAATGTTGGCCCACCTAGTGTGGCTGAGTGGTTGAGCATCGACCTATGATCCAGGAGATCGAGGTTTGATTCCCAGTCAGGGCATATGCCCAGGTTGTGGGCTTGATCCCCAGCACGGGGCATGCAAGAGGCAGCCAATCAATGACACTCATCATTGATGTTTCTATCTCTCTTTGTCCCTCTCCCTTTCTCTCTCTGAAATCAAAGAATTTTTTTTAAATGTTGGAAGAAAAAACTTCTCAACCAAGAATTCTGTGTCTGGTAAAACTGTCCTTCAAAAATGGAGGAGAAATTGAGATATTTCCAGATAGATAAAAGCTGAGAGAGTTCACTGCCACTAGGCCTGTCATACAAGAAGTGCTAAAGGTAACCCTTCAGATTGAAATGACACCCAAAACCATTTGAAAAAGATTTTCAATAAAGATAAACAGATGGGCAAATATAAAAGCCACTGTTACTGTAGTTTTAATTTGTAACCCTACTTTTTATTTCCTACAGTATTTAAAAGATAATGAATGAATAATAATTACAAATCTGTTATTGGGCATACAGCATATAAAGATATAATTTTTTACAGCAACATAAAGGGATGGAAGATGAGCTATATAGTATCAAAAAGTTTTTGTGTGCTATTGAAATTAAGTTGGTATTGATTGATGCTAGATTGTTATAAATTTAGATATAAATGTCATCCCCACGGTGACCACAAATAAAATATCTAAAACATATACAAAAGGAAATAAGAAAGGAACAGAACAATTCACTACAAAAGAAAAACAAAATACAAAAGAAGGTAGTAATGGAGGAAATGAGGAACAAAAGGTGTAAGACATACAGAAAACAGTAAAATGGCAGAAGTCTTTTTAAATCAGTAATTTCATTAAATATACAGGGGTTAAATTTTCCAATCAAAAAGCAAACAGGCAGAATGGATTAAAATAAATATCCAACTATATTCTGTCTACAGGAGACTCACTTTAAATCCAAAACCACAAATAGAGTAAAATGAAAGGATGGAAAAAAGTTATTCCATACAAATAGAAACCAAAGACAAGCGGTGATGTCTATACTAATATCAGACAAAATGGACTCTTAAGTAGAAAACTGTTACAAGAGACAAAGAACATTATATATTGACAAAAGAGTCAGTTTACCAAGAATATATGACAATTACATATGTACAAATCAGTGAAGCCCCAAAATATATGATTCAAACATTAACAAAATGGAGAAATAGACCATTCTATAACAATAGATGCATACTTCAGTACAATACTATCATTAATGAATAGAACACCTAGATAGAAGATCAATAAGGAAACAGAAGGCTTGACCCACACAAACCAACTAGGCCTACCAGATAAATGTAGAATAGTCTACACAACAACAGCAGAATATACAGTCTTGTCAAGTGCACATGAAACATTCTCTAGGATAGACCATATGTTAAGGTATATAGCATGTCCCAGTAAATTTTCAAAAGATCGAAACATACAGAGTATTTTTTTTAGCCATAGTGAATGAAACTAGAAATCAGTAACAGAAGGGAAATTTGCAAATATGTGAAAATTAACATTTAATTAATCAAATTAGAAATCATAAGTGAAATTAGAAAACACTTAAATTAATGAAAACAAAAACACAACATACCAAAACTTGTAAGATGTAGCAAAAGCAGTGCTCAAAAGGAAATATATAGTTGTGAATGCCTACATTCAAAAAGAAGAAATATCTCAATAACTTAATGTAATAATAGGAAACCAGAAAAAGAAAAGTAAACCCGAAGCTAACAGAGATAAACAAACTAGGGAATAGAAGAACAAGAGAGAATCAATGTAGCTAAAAGTTGGTTCTTCGAAAAAGTCAACAAAATTGACAAACCTTTAGCTAGACTGAGAAAAAAAGAGCGAGACACAAATAACTAAAGTCAGAAATGGTAGTGGAGCCATTACTACTGACCTTACCGAAATAAAAAGGATTATAAGAGGATACTATGAACAGTTTTATACCAGCAAATTAAGTAACCAAGATGACATGGACAGATTCCTAAAAACACATAAAGTGGTTCAAAAAGAAATAGAAATTTTCAACAGACCTGTAACAAGGTAAGAAATTGAATCAGTAATTAAAAGCCTCCAGACAAGTAAAAGTCCAGGACCAGATGGCTTCATTGGTGAATTCTACAAACATTTAAAGAAAAACAAACACCAATCCTTCTCAAACTCTTCCAAAAAATAGAAGAGATGGAAAACCTTGTAACTCATTCTTAAGAGCCCAGCATGACCCAAATACCAAAGCCACATAGAGATAGTACAAAAAAAGAAAATTATAGATCAGTATAACTTATACAATAGATGTAAAAATCCTCTACAAAATACTGTCAAACCAAATCCAACAGCATATTAAAAAGATTATATACCATGACCAAGTGGGATTTTTCTGAGAAATGCAAAGATGATTTAACACATGAAAATTAATCAGATGAAGGGACATATCACATGCTCATTTCAGTTGACATAGAAAAGGTATTTGACAAAATCCAAGACCCTTTTATGATTAAAAAATATATATCATACTTAACAGTAAAAGACTGAAAACTTTTTCCCCAAGATCACAAACAGGACAGGCATGCCCACTTTAACCACTGGCACTTAACATTTTACTGCAAGTTCTAGCCAGAGAAATTAGACAAGAAAAAGAAATAAAAGGCACCTAAATTGGAAATAAAGAAGTAAAAGGGCCTCTCATCACAGATGATATGATTTTACATGTTAAAAAAAAAATCCCAAAGAATCCATAAGAAAGCTATTTGAGCTGATGAACAAATTTAGCGGTTTCAGGGCATAAGATGAATACAAAAACCAGTTGTTTTTCTATATGTGTTCAAGGAACAGTTTCAAAAGGAAATTAAGAAAACAATTTAGCCCAGCCGGTGTGGCTCAGCGGTTGAATGTTGACCCAGGAACTAAGAGGTCGCTTTTTCCATTCCCCATCAGGGCACATGCCCAGGTTGCAGCTCTATCCCCAGTAGGGTGTGTGCAGGAGGCAGCCGATCAGTAATGTTTCTCTCTCATAGATGTTTCTCTCTCTCTATCCCTATCCCTTTCTCTCTAAAAATCAATAATAAAAAACATTTTAAAAAAGAAAGCAATTTAGCCTGACCAGTGTGTCTCAGCAGTTGAGTGAGGAACCAGGAGGTCACCTTTTCCATTCCCTGTCAGGACACATGCCCAGGTTGCAGGCTTGATTCCCATTATGGGGTATGCATGAGGCAGCTGATCAATGATTCTCTCTCATCATTGATATCTCCCTCTCCTTTCCTCTCTTTGAAGTCAATAAAAATATTTTTTTAAAAAAGCAATTTAATGTACAGTACCATCTAAAAGAATAAAATACCTAGTAGTAAATGTAACTAAGGAGACAAAAGATTTGTACACTGAAAACTATCAAGCACTGCTGAAGAAAATAAAGAATACCTAAATGAAAGACATCCTGTGTTCTTAGGTAGGAAAACTTTATTTTGCCATGATGTCAGTACTACCCAAAGAAATTTACAGATTGAATGCTCTTTATAAAAATTGCAACAGCTTTCTTTTTACCAAAATGGAAAAGCCAGTCCTCAAATTCATATGGAATTACAAGAGGCCCTGAGTAGCCAAAATCTTAAAGAAGAGCAAAGTTGGGAGACTCATGCTTTCTGGTTTTGAGACTTACTACAAAGCTGTAGTAATCAAAACAGTGTATTATTGGCCTACAGATCAATTGATTTCTGACAGAGTTGCCAAGTCCATTCAATGGGAAAGGAATTGTCTCTCAAACAAATGGTGTTGGGACAGCTGGATTACCACATACAAAAGGATGAAGGTGGACCTCACGCCATATACAAAAATTAACTCCAAATGGATTCACAACCTGAATAAGAGCTAAAACCGTAAAACTCTTAGTAGGAGACAGGGTAAATCTTCATGATGTTGTATTTGGCAAGGGCTTCTTAGACATGTCACTGAAAGCAGAAGGAACAATAACAAAATAGATAAACGGGATATCATCAAAACTAAACATTTTTATGCCTCAAGGGACATCATCAAAGTGAAAGACAACCTACAGAATGAGAGAGAATATTTGCAAATCATTTATCTGACAAGGGTTTAATATTTAGGATATATAAAGAACTTAACAAAAGACAACCCAATTTTAAAAATGAGCAAAAGACTTGAATAGACATTTCCTCAAAGAAGATAGACAAATGGCGAACAGCACATAAATGATGCTCAAAATCATTAGTCATAAGGGCAATGCAAATCAAAACCACAATGAGGTCAGGTAGTACTTCACATCATTAAAATGATAATAATTTAAAAGTTTTGAAATGAAAAATAAGTGTTGGTAAGGATGTGGAGATATTGGAACTCTTGTATATTGCTGACAGGAATATCAAATGTTGCCACCCCTGTGAAAAACGATTTGGTGGTTCCTCAAAAAGCTAAATATAGAATTTCCATATGACCCAGCAATTCCACTACAAAAAAATTGAAGGCAGGAACTCAGATACTCGTACACTCATGTTCACTGCAACATTATTCACAATTGCCAAAACGTAGAGAAAGTTGAAGTGTGCATCAACAGATGGATAAACAAAATGTGGTATATGCTTACAATAGAATATAATTCAGCCATAAAAAGAACGGAATTCTGCTACCTAATACAACATGGATGAACTTTGGAAATATAGTGCTAAGTGAAATAAGCAAAACAGAAAAGGACAAATATTGTGTCATTCTACATATGTATAAAATATAAGATAGGCAAATTCATAGAAAGATTGGAGATTACTAGGGACTGAGGGAAGGAGAGAAAGGGAAGTAATTGTTTAATTGTTACAGAGTCTCTTTGGAGTGATGAAACTGTTTTGGAAGTAGCACTGATGATTGTATAATATTGTAAATGTACTGAATACTACTGAATTGTACACTTAAAAATTATTAAAATGGCAAGACTGATACAATCACTATGGAAAACAGTGTAGGTGGAGTTTCCTCAAAAAAATTAAAAATGGAACTGCCATCTGACCCAGTGATCCCACTTCTAGCAATATATCCTAAGAAGCCAGAAACACCACTCAGAAAGAATATATGCACCCCTATGTTCATAGCAGCACAATTTACAATAGCTAAGATCTGGAAACAGCCCAAGTGCCCATCAGTAGATGAGTGGATTAAAAAACTGGGACATTTACACATTGGAATACTATGCAGCTGTAAAAAAGAAGGCTCCCTTAACCCTTTGAGACAGCATGGATGGACCCGGAGAGTATTATGCTAAGTGAAATAAGCCAGTCAGAGAAAGACAAGTATCACGTGATCTCACTCATATGTGGAATCTAATGAACAAAATAAACTGAGGAGCAGAAAAGATCCAGAGACACTAAAGCATGGAACAGACTGAGGGATCTCAGGGGGAAGGGGGTGGGGAAGAACTGGAAGAGATTAACCAATGAACTTATATGCATATATGCAAGACTTATTTTATATATGTATGTACATACACACACGTAATCACAATTTAGAAATTAAAAAAAAACTTTAAATTTTGTTTCTTCCTTTAACAACACTAACATGATAGAGACACACAGGGCATCTGTATTTCCTCCTAAAGGTCGAGTTTAGTGATCACAATAAATATTGTATATCAAAAGTTAGATTGCTGAATCCCTTTGTCATTTTAAATAGCTTCTCACCAGTCTTCATCAATTTCCAATTTGAACCTACTCTTCAAATGTGGATTTGGATTCTAAATGTTACAAAATTTTAAGTCTCCATGACTTGAAGTAGGAGGATGCAGTGTAGGCTGAATATACAGCCTGCCTCCTTATTACTTTTCTATAATAGAATTATAGAAATTTTATATTTATCTTCAGCACATGAATAATATTTTACAAAATTACTTCAAGGAATAGGTAATTGGAGATGGTTCCTATTTAGAACAGTAAATAGGTAAGAACAGAGTTAAAGGCATAATGACCACCGGTTTCCTGTTTTTCTAAGTATGTAAATTACCTTGCCCTTCTGATTCTAGTTTCTTCTCTTGCATTTGGGTTTTTTAATCTAAGGTTTATTTCCAAAAAGTGCAAGCTTATTAATAGAATAAAATCTAAAGTTTATTATTCTAAGGAAAATTTAGTCCTAGTTGATAGTTTGATATGCTTTTGTGCATGCACTCAGATGCTTTTAGTAAGTTTAAATCATACTCTGCAAAATAATATCATTTATTATAAAATGGTTTCTACAGTATCCAGATATTATTAAAAGTAAATAATTTTATTGAAAACACAGCATCATTCAGTGGAAATGTTTACAATGTTGGAAACAAGTATGATTTAAAAGAACACTATTAATTAACATTCAATTAGAGATGCTAATGTGCAGTTAGACAAGTGGGGGGGGGTTGTGTGTTTATATTAAAATATCTCTTGAAGGATATACAAATAGCAGTGACTATTTAGTTGGGAGGAGGCAGGATGTATAGGGATCAGGAGTTGGAGGGACACTCCTCATTGTATATTTTTATACTGTTTGATATTTGTGCCAAATTAATATTTTCTATTAAAATTAAATAAAACAGCCCTGGCCAGGTTGTCCAGTTGGTTGGGGCATCATCCCATACACCAAAAGGTTGCAGGTTCAATTCCTAGTCAGGACGCATACCTAGGTTGGGGGTTTGGTCCTGGTTGGGGCGCAAATGAAAGGCAACTGATCGATGTTTCTCCCTCACATCAATTTTTCTCTCTTTCTCTTTCTTTCTGTCTCTCCGCCCACCCCTTAAAATCAATAAACATCTTCAGGTGAGGATTTTTAAAAAATTAAATAAAATAATTGTATTATATAAGTATATTATATCTTATTTGTTAAGTTTTAATTAGACTATTTCATTTTTGTTTTTATGTCTAAGCATTGTGCCATTGAACAGATAGTTTTGACAGTTGTATATTGGTCTTTAATTATAAAATTCAATGCAAATTTGCATACTAGCATGTTTTTGTTTTCAGGTTAGTGTCCCAAAAATGAAACATAAGCCAACCAGGCAACAGAAGAAAGTGGCAAAAGGCTATTCGTCCCCAGAACCTGATATCCAGGACTCATCTGGAAGTGAAGGTAAAATTATTTATTGCAGATTATTCACTATAGGAGTCTAAATTATTAAAAGGGTATTACTATACTGTGTTTGATAGATGAAAATGGTTTTTTATATTCATTTAAGAAGATATATAAAAGTTTTAGTGAGGGCAGGGATGGTGTGCAAAAAAAAAAAAAAAAATCTCTATTTTAGATTATAGGTCAATTTCAAGACCAGGCCACAGGTAAAGTCACGGGGTATGAATTAAGGGGGAAACATGCAAATCAAGAACCACACTGTAGTGTGGCTCTTATGCCTTCTTAGCTTCTGAAAAATTGTTGATGGCTTCTTAGATTCAATGCAGGAAGTGTTTTTTGTACGTTGAGCTTAGTTCCATGCTTCAGGAAAGTTTTTCATTCTCGGAATAAATTATTGTAGTGCTTAGAAGTCACAGACAAGTAAAACTATAACTATATCAAAATTATGGACTAAGTTAACTAGTGTGTCATTCTTGTTTGAGTCAGATAATGTGTAAACTGTGTTGAGCTACACTGAGATATAATCAAGAAAGGATTAAGGTAATGTCTGAGACATTATGAGGAAAAGGTGTTTTAAAGGCATAGTCTCTAAGCTCACACTAAACTGGGGAGCTCATTTTTACAGAGGTAGCCTACGCTAGAGGTGAATAAATGATAAATGCCTGGAAATTAGTAGAAGAAAAAAAGAGTTGAAAGAGGGAATGTTCTTAGAGGAACCTGATGAATTTGTAATGGAGTACAGTAATCTAGGCTTGAGAGAAGCATGTTGGGACAAGCTATTGGAGTAAAGATGAATAAACTGAGTAGAGGTTTAAAAGCAGGAGTTACATGGTACCCGTGTGCTAGAGGGAGTGTTTGTTCCACTGCCATTCCCATTTTAGAGAAAAGGAAACTTAAGACACAGGTGAACCTGCTCAAGGCCGTATATCACATAAGGCAATAGATATGTTATATAAGCAGATATTTTGGCTTCTTAATTCACTCTCTTCTCTTATCCCTCCACTATATTACCTATAACGCATAGGCTGCTGTTTATTGAGTACTTAATGTGTGCCAAACTGGATGTTAAACACCCCTTACTACAACCATATGAAGTTTAGTGTTATTTATCCCTATTTTACAAATGAGAAAGCTGAGATCTAGAGAGAGGTTAAGATCTGAACAAAAATGTAAAGGAAGGAATAGATAGGCAAGGGGAATTGGGGGGGGGGGGAA